CAGCAGCAGCAGCAGCAGCAGCAGCAGCAGCAGCAGCAGCAGCAGCAGCAGCAGCAGCAACAGCAGCAGTAGCAGCAGCAACAGCAGTAGCGGCAGCAGCAATAGCAGTTAGTAGCGGCAACCGCAGCAGCAGCAGCAGCAGCAACAGCAGCAGCAGCCGCAGTAACAGCAGCAACAGCAGCAGCAGCAGCAACAGCAACAGCAGTAGCCGTAGCAGTAGCAGCAGCAGCAACAGCAGTGGCGGCAGCAGCGGCAACAGCAGCAGTAGAAGCTATACAGATAGAGACAGAGACAAAAGGAGATAGAGAAAGAGAAAGAAATAAAAAAAGGAGACAGATACAGAAATAAATAAAAAAACAAACACAACATACAGCATGCTGAGGAGACAACAAACCCTCTATTATCTAGGGTTTAGGGTTTAGGGTTTAGGGTTTAGGGTTTCGTTAGTATTTATTATTTCTTATAAACTCACAATTATATATCACAGCATCCCCACTCCCTATTCTTTATAATAATTAGGGTTTAGGGTTTAGGGTTTAGGGTTTAGGGTTTAGGGTTTAGGGTTTAGGGTTTGTGTTCAGGGGGTTCAGGGAGCGAGGCCTCCGACCGCGTAATAAATCAGATTCTCACCGAGATAGACGGCATCGGCAAACAAAAACAAATATTCATCATCGGCGCAACCAACAGGTAAAAATGCAGCAGCAGCAGCAGCAGCAGCAGCTGCAGCAGCAGCAGCAGCAGCAGGAGTAGCAGCAGGAAGAGCAGCAGCAGCAGCTGCTGCTGCTGCTGCAGCAGCAGGAGGAAGAGCAGCAGGAGTAGCAGCAGGAGGAGCAGCAGGAGAAGCAGCAGGAGTAGCAGCAGCAGCAGGAGTAGCAGCAACAGCAGAAGCAGTAGTAGCAGCGAAAGCAGCAGTAGCGGCAGTAGTAGTAGCAGCAGCAGCAACAGCAGCAGAGCAGCAACAGCAGCAGTAGCAGCAACAGCAGCAACAGCAGTAGCAGCAGCAGCAGCAAGGTAGTATCAGTCCTTGCTGTTGGTGTGCTGGCCTTTGTGCGGTGTATGTACACCTTACGCATATCTGAACAGCAACAGCAGCAGCAGCAGCAGCAGCGGCTGCTGCTGCTGCTGCTGCTCAGAGTGCTCCTTTACTGCTCATTTTGCTGCTGCTGCTGCTACGTCTGCTGCTCCTCTCTCTCCTCCTCCCGTTTCATCCACTACATCTGCTGCTGCTGCTGCTGCTGCTGCCTATGCAGCAGCAGCAGCGGCAGCAGCAGCAGCCGCAGCAGCGTGAAATCCTTGACCCCTCTGTGGCTGTTCTCTATCATGTATATTTTTCTGTTTAATATGTTTTTGCTGCTGCTCCTGCTGCTGCTGCTGCTCCATCTGCTGCTGCCACTCCTGCTGCTGCTGCTGCTCCATCTACTGCTGCTGCTGCTGCTGCTGCTGCTGCTGCTGCAGGCCTGACATCCTGGACCCGGCAGTGACTCGTCCTGGTCGTCTTGATCAGCTGCTGTATATTCCTCTGCCGGATTGCTGCAGCAGAGAAAATATATTAAAAGCAAATTTAAAAAAAACACCAGTTGCTGCTGATGTTAATATTAAACAAATCGCCAAACAAACTGAAGGATTCTCTGGTACTTTTATTTTTTTTTTATTTTTTTTTTTTTTTTTTTTTTTTTTTTTTTTTTTTTTTTTTTTTTTTTTTTTTTTTTTTTTTTTTTTTTTGTTTTTTTTTTTTTTTTTTTTTTTTTTTTTTTTTTTTTTTTTTTTTTTTTTTTTTTTTTTTTTTTTTTTGTTGTTGCTGCTGATGTTAATATAAAACAAATCGCCAAACAAACTGAAGGATTCTCTGGTATTTATTCTTTATTTTTTTTTCTTTTTTTTTATTTTTTCTTTTTTTTTTTTGTTGCTGCTGATGTTAATATTAAACAAATCGCT